GGGGGGGGGGCGCAAATCTGTTGTATTTTAGCTAAAGTTACTTAACTTAAAGTTACTTAACTTAAAGTTTAACAATCGCAAATTAAAATGGAGATGCCACAAACCTCGAAAAGCTACGTAGAGAGAAATAATTAAAAACATTGAAAGGTTACGTACTTTTCGGCTCCCCCATTTGATTATCAATGTTGGAATAACAACAAAGATATTTATCAAGATTGCAGCAAAAAAATATCAAAATTCGGAAAAATCCTTATTCTACATAATTACCCCATATATTTGATTTAAATAAAAGATAATGCAGATTTAAGTAAATATGTTAATGGCATCCATCAAGGAAATATTTGTTGATTTTAATGTAATTTTTCTCTCAGTGTAGGAGAAACAAAAAAAGATAGAGAAAGAAAGTGAAAGAAAGATAGAGGATGCTTTGATTACACACGATCGATTCTCCTTCATAATTTTTTTTCTACCAAGTGGACAATTATCCAAGAAAAGCATCTGACTCTCTACTATCCTCCTTTACTAATCCTGACTTCATCCCTCTTGCAGCAATGGTCAGTCTATTTCGTACGGCTTGAGCGGGATGAGAAAGCGCGAAGAAAGGGTGTAAGAGACATTTATTGCGAATAAAACGGTTGAGTGATTTACTTTTAGATACTTTTGGTACTTCTGATACATCGATCATAAATAATTTCTACTGAACGGTCGTGTTCACCGAATGTAGTCATTTTTCAATCGAGCAACCGCGATAGGACGTTGCGTCTTGTTGTGGCCGCGTGCCAGTTCGCGCGGTGTAAACAGAATGGAGTCGTTTGCGGGCGGTGGGAAATCGGGTCGCCGTCCATCTCAGCGCGCACCACCCTCCGTTCGCCCCCGATCGCGAAATCCAAACAGCGTCGCGGGGAAGGTCAGCCGGGAAAGCTCCCTTGTTGTTCTGCTGCAGACGAAAAGTCTGGCGCCGATGTGACGGCGATGCGACGACAACTACGCGGATGCATCCCGTCCAGGGATGCTAGCTAGCCTCAGTGCTCGTTCTCCTCTTACGCGCTGTGCACCGTCTCTTCTCCATCTGGCTCTCCTCCTCAAGTCTCAGCGTCCTCGAGTCTCAGCCCGCGTCTCTGCGAACAGTTCTCATTTCGCGAAATCCAACGCACCGGATCTTGTTATCCCGCGGACGGCTCGCTCACGTAATCTGCATTTTTATTCGATTCGCTTGCGCGAGGAACGAATCGGATCGATTTTTCAGCCGTCGCTCCGCGATACATGGGTCAATCGAATAAGTTCAATAGGAGAGGATCCCGCGTGAGATAAAAGCACTCAATGCCTGGACAATATTAGTAACACTAATGCCTGACTCATTCTTAATGTTTTGTTTTTAAATACGAATATGGGATTTAAACTTTTTGCATAGAATATCTGTACATGTATTCTCTCAATATTAGAAGTTTACATGTTTGTTTTTAAAGACTAAAATAAGAAGAGTGTCCAGAATTAGAGGTATCAGTGTGGTGTTATTAGTGTGGCATTGGTACCTTTACCTTACAGCTTGCGAGACTCTTCGGCGAATAGAAGGAACGAAATATCATACGAACGGTGACTTGTTTGAGGCGAGCATTCCTGCGAAAAGCACGAGCGACATCACATACACGTCGTTTAGTTTTAGCGGACTAGAGGAATCGAAAGAGACTCTGAATGTAACATAAAGGGATGCGGTAGTTTTCCGCCTTATATATCGTTCCGGGCGACACGCCAGGAAGACGTACAACGTTCGACGGTCGCTGCGACGATAAAAGTTCTTTCGGCCGACAAAGGGCTGAAACAGACCTTTTTCACCGGTGCTTTCACGTTCCGCGGTAGCGTTCTGTCAACTGCGGCGGTACCGAGCGAGAAAGTCTCCTCGAGATGTTGAAGTTTCGAGCATCCGGCCAACGGAAGTGCGGCGGCACGGTGAGAATCTTAAGCGTCTGTGACTGAAATCTCAGCGAGGAGATGTCGAAGAAAAGTTAATTCTTCACCGCGGAAAAAAATTTGGGAGATCGCGGTGACGTTCGTCACGTTCTCTTATTAAAGTATATACGGGGAGATTTTGCGTGGGCTCTTCAACTATGTGCTAACTCTTCTTTTAGGAATTTTTGCATGCAAAGCCAAAGTTTGGAATATTCACTTTCGGAATAGTTTGAGAGTGTTTTCTGAGTTTAAAGCTATCTGAATATCTTGTCCCAGATATTTCATGGCGCTACACAAAGTCTCGCGGCACTATGCGTTGACCATGTATTTCATCGCGTCCGAGTTCGCGGTAATTTGCCGTCATAACTTCGCCTGTGCAGTCGCTTTCGGACAGCGTCGCGCGTCGACGTCTGGGAAGTTGCCTGCCTCCAGGTGCATCGAGAGACCACAGCGGTTCTCAGCCGTTTTTTCGTGCACGAAACTCGCTCGTCATCGGCTATATCACATCGTATCGATTTGAAACGTCAAAGCGATCACAGACTACAACTTTTAGACGCAAAAGCTCTAAATTTCTTGTTGGAATTTCACGAAAAACTTATTGTTATTATTTTATTGTAAAGTCTCAATAATTGACTAATTATTTTTTTAGGACACAAACTAGCAACAATATTCGGAAATTTATATAAAGAAGACTATTATATAATATATTATAAAATATGTTTGAATTTTATATGTGATTAAGTGATATATAATTATATTAGAAAAAAATTCATAATTTAAGAAAAAATAAAAGTTTTTTATAAAATAGTATTGTCGTTATAGTTTTTCGAGTCATTTGGTATATATATATTTTTTTAAGAAGATAAAACAGAAAGGAAATTTAACGAAGAAATTTAATTTCTTCTTTAAAATGAACTAAAATATTTAATTATATAAACGTAAAATAATAATTATAAATCAATTTTTTAACGCAAATACACACACACACACACACACACACACATATATATATATATATAATTCAAACATATTTATTTAGTAGTTTTCTTGAAATAAATTTCTGGATATTGTTGCGTTTTGTGGCTAGAAAAAATATCTTTCTCCCTACTAATTGTTAATAAGTTCTTGTCGGGATTGGAATTCCTCGATGACGGGTGTCGTCGCTGTTGCAGGTAAATCCGGGGAGCAAGGCGGCCGAGCAGGGAGTGAGAGAGGGCGATCTGATCAGTAATATCAACGGGAGAAGCACTCGGGAATTGACCAACAGCGAGGCCCACGCTTTGCTACGTAACTCCGGGGAACAGCTGAAGCTCGGTCTCAATCAGTAAGTGATCGGCGTTAATGTCCCTTCGCTCCGGCAAAGTAACGAAGCGTAACTAAGCGCTCGATTCATTTTACCGGATGCACTTTATCTTGGACCTGTGCTTTCTGTCACAGAGAAAACATCGGCTCGCCGAAGAGGAGGATCTACAAGAGCAGCCTGCAGGAGAACACCACCGAGATTCACAACAGTGAGTACTCGCGATCGATCGCTTATCCGCGTTACCAGTCCGACTGCGGGATCCGTCATTCTTGTTGTTTGTGTGTCGCAGAGATCACAACGAGGACCACAACGACCACGCGCACACGGACGGAAACGGAGAAGAACGTTGCCAGTAAGTTTGCCGTTTCCTCAGCAATTCTTCACTTTTGCATCGCTGCAGAAGTCCCAAATAGCACCAGATATCCCAGAATCCTTCTGGACTTATTCTAAACGCCTGGAAAATATTCCGGGATGTTCTGAGCACGTCCAGGATGTCCTGAGGAGTACATCTTGTACTATCTGGGAGTGATTTGCGGCGAGATTGAATCTTCAGTTTTTTTATTAATCCTAATTAAGATTGAAAAGTGCGCTCACACCGAGTATACAAGCGGTGTGAAATGATCGACAAGAGATGGTCGCTCAATACAAATCAACATCGATAATTAATAATTAGCGGCATAAACTTTCGGCCGCGTAATGCATCGAATGGTCCATGATTAATTAAGTGCTGCGTTGAATTTACGAGCACTCTCCAATTAATCGCTCGCCTGTTTGGGCGGTGGACTCGCCGCGGTCGATATCGATTCCCGATTAATCTTGCGTGGTATCAAATGCCGGGCTTATTGAGCCCGCCGTTATTTTCCGATTAATTTTTAATGCGTCTAACTCGGCGTACTTTAACGGTTGTACAATCGGAAATACGGTGCTCGCACTCGAGCGTCGAAATTATTTCGCCCGGGAGCAAACACAATTGTAATTTACAAATGGGCGCAATCGAATCGCCCGATGGACGGTCGGATGGATGGATGGATGGATCGATTTGTTGCGATTGCACACGCGGTGTTCTTCCAACGGGTATCGTGTTATGAAACGCAGCTTGAGGTAACAATTCGCGTACTTAATCCTGGACATTCTAATTGCTTTGGTCTTCAAATATGAATATTTACGCTTTGAACATAGAATATCACGGCTGAAACTACTCCGGCGTTGCTCGGGTTATCACAAAGTGTCGAGGGGATGAAATCAGAGACAGGGAGTGCGGTGTTCATGTTTCATGTATCCTAGATTTTCTGCAGGATTGTAGAGAGTAACTATGCAAAATTTGATTCAAATCGGTTAAAAGATTTAGAAGTATATGGGAAACAGACATTCTAGTTTATTTTCTATTAGATATGTATATATATGGTGTCCGACAATTCGTTATGCAGCCGTGGGGTACACAGATAGAGTTAATCATACTTTATGTTAGAAGTTTGAGCATTTGTATTTAAAGACCAAAACAATAAGAATGGATTAAAGTAAAAGTACTCTGGGCATTCTTATTGTTTTGGTCCTCACAAATGTGAATATTGAAACTTTCAGTGTAGAATACATACATGTGTCGTAAATACATACATACACACATACATATACATATATATACCTATATCGGGAGTACAAATTAGTTTGGTCCGTTTTTAAAAGATTGCTCTGGCTGTTATGAATGTTTCATAGTGACAGCTGATTTCGGTGGTTTCAGAGAGGTTAGACATCAGTCAATAATATTCAGTTTATATCTCTTTGAGTTTCATACAAAACCCCTGTTTTTTACTGTGTTGAATATGTCAAATTTTGTGTTAACTAAGCAGCATTTGCGGGAGGTTTTAGTTTTCTGCTTTAATTGGAAGAAAAGTGCAGCTGAAGCGCATCGAATGCTTGTAGAAGTTTATGGTGACAATGCTCCAATTGATAAATCATGTAGGGAATGGTTTCGACGTTTCAAGAATGATGATTTCAGCGTTGAAGACAAGTCTCACTCTGGACAGTCAAAAAAATTCGAAGACAAAGAATTGGAGGCTATAACCTGGCGATTCCATTACGGGCCATCGGTATAAGCTACAATTGATTCGTTTGAGCCGTGCATTACGAGAAAAACGGCCGGAATACGAGCGAAGACATGACAAAGTTATTCTTCTGCATGATAACGCTCGGCCTCATGTCGCAAAAGTCGTAAAAAATTATTTGGAAACGCTCAAGTGGGATATTTTACCGCACCCGCTGTATTCGCCGGACATTGCTCCTTCTGATTACTGGTTGTTCCGACGGATGCAGCACGATTTGGCAGGTCACCGGTTCACTTCTTTCGCATAAATCGAAAATTGGCTCCTAACTTGGATCGCCTCAAAAGACGAGACATTTTTTCGAGATGGAATTCGAAAATTGCCTGAGAGGTGGGAAAAAGTAGTAGCCAGCGGTGGACGATACTTTGATTAAT